GGAGTGTTAATATGTCATAATGGTGTGCTTTCTCTATTCTTTTAGCGATTAACATGAAATTTGTATTATATTTAAGATAAATGAGCATTTTGATTTTTAACTTATGTTAGCCATTCAAAGATTCAGTTACAAGGCAAGATATGCTTCAACCAAAGTTTTTATGTATTATTTTTCATGCTATGATGGCCATATTGTGTCTGTACACATGCTTGCATTTTTTTGCTCTGGAGCAATGATTACAATGTGTATTGGTTTCCATGGTTTTTATTTGAGATAATCTGTGTTTTTTGGTCTCCCTTTTCATCCACTTATTATGATTTATTGTAGAAGGATTCAAGTAGAAGGGTGAAAGAGAACATTAGTCACATGTCAGAAAGAAATATTTTTTTATGCGTTGATAATTCATCATCATTTATGGCCAGCTATCATATCCTTTTTTTATAAGTGATGACATTTTTTTGATCTTCAATTTGAAATATCGTTACAGCTTTATTTTATTGATTGCACTTGTTCATCTAGAGACCTGATGAAATTTGAATTTTTGGTGGAACATGTTCCATAATGTTAAATTCATCTTGTTTGATAATTCAAACACGGGCTTCGAATTGGTTCGATCATGTTCTTAGTGGAACTTGGATTTGTTAATACGTGAGAAAACATTAGCATCACTTCTTTCTTGTGGTGATTTGGGGCCCATAAATTGGTCTTTTTATTAGTGTAAATTATTAAATTCAATCTATGAAAGCTTTATATCTATATTTATTTTCTTCTTATAATGTTTTTATTTCTTCTTCCATTTAATAGGTTTGTGAAGCATTTGTTCAGCTAATTGAAGTACGGCCAGAGTTCCTAGAGGTAGGTGCAGTTTGTTCACTTCTTGTTATACAGAACTTTTTTAGTATGTCAAATTGCAGGTTTTGATCCTGTTGTTTTTGGTAGATACAATAGAATTTAATGATGAGATTCATATTGTTTATTTGAGTTCAAAATATTTCAAGAGGACTACATTTTATCGTAATATATTGTCATGCTCATTAGAAGTTTTAGAATTCTATTGTTCTTTAAGTAACAATTGGCCTCATCTTGTAGCCACATCTGCGTAATGTAATCGAGTACATTTTGCAATCCAATAAGGATGCTGATGATGAAGTTGCCCTTGAGTCTTGCGAGTTTTGGTATGTACTTTCCACAACCTTTCTGTTGTAACTTTCCAACTTTTCTATTGTAAGTTCTTACATGCTTCTAGAAAAAAGAAGATGAAAATGGAAAGATGTGAGAGAGAAAATCTAGTTTTACATCCTCATAATGTCACTTATAGTTGCGCTGTCTTATTTTTCATATTTCTTTAAATTCCTAATCAGATATGTATGTTTGCCTTATTTAAACTATATGTTTAGTGTTTTATTTACAATTATCTTTCTAATATTTCAGCCCATATTCCACCAAGATAGCATGAAAACTATATTTCTAAGTGTCAACTGTATTTTCAGGTTAAAAGGTGCTTTTCCTTGATTAATCAAAGCATAATTACTTGGTTTTAGAGGCAAAATGGTCTTTTGCATTTATAGAAGGTCTTTAGTAAGATTATGATTGTCCGCATGTGTTTTATAATTGATAGAGCAGCTTATTCTATTTGACTTGCGACGTGCTGGAAACTACTGGTTAGATTGGGATTAGAGGTAACTAGTGTTTATCTGTCCTATCAAACTACGAAAAAGTAAATATTGTTGAGCGCTTCTTTGTTACAACGTGATGTCTTATGCTATGATTTTTTGTCTGTTTCTTTTGGTGATTTTGATTGAGGTAGTTTTCTATGCCATCTTCTGCCAATATCTTATTGAACTGTTTACCCAACATTTTGATTGTATCACTAGATATGGCATTGCCTAATGTTAATTATGATAAATTCTCAGGTCAGCATATTGCGATGCTAATTTGCCCCCCGATCGATTAAGAGATGTCTTGCCACGTCTGATCCCTGTATGTCTTCAGTAACGATGATTTTCATCAATTATATTTATGGATACTATGAACTGTAAATCTTATGCACCTTTGCGCCATTGCTTTCATAGGTTTTGCTCTCAAATATGGCGTATGCTGATGATGATGAATCACTATTTGATGCAGAGGTATATTTGCTTTAGCTATTTTCTTAATTCATTTCTTATCTCAGTGCTAAAATCTTGATTTATTTGCTTATCTGGCAAGCATAATTTATAATTCTTTATTTTCTTACAGGAAGACGAGTCTGTTCCTGATAGGGAACAGGTATGCTTTCTCAGTGATATTCATATTCGATTTTACTCCTTTTTTTTCAATATTTTTGTGTGTATCCTTATCTATGTGCTGTGAAATTATAGTGAAAACTTTCTTGTTCTACAGGATTTGAAACCCCGTTTCCATTCATCACGCTTTCATGGATCTGATAATGGAGAAGAAGCTGTACGTCTATTAAGCTAATATTCCATTTCATGATTTATTGTGTGTTATTTATTTTCCCCCCCTTCCTTTCATCTCTCCAACCACTTCTATGTGGTTATTTAAGCAAGCAATGTTGGCAGCACTACTATTTGATATTGGTATCCATCGTTTTAGGGAGCTAAACTTGACATGCTATAATTACAGGAAGAGGACATAGTCAACATCTGGAATTTAAGGAAGTGCAGTGCTGCTGGCTTAGATATTCTCTCAAATGTATTTGGTGATGAAATTCTTCCAGCGCTGATGCCCTTGATTCAGGTTTTTGATCATTAGTTTTTTTACTCCCTGGAAGCAGATCTACTTTACCTACTTCAGATTTACTACATGTTTTTTGATAACCTAATATTGAAACAAGGAACAATAGTCTCTGTCCTCACAAGCTAGTCCTTTTGCGTTCAGTTTATTCTAGTCAGAAGTAGATGACTGACCATTGGATTTCTACGTATTTCATGCTGAATATTGGTTAAGATGGATCGTTTACATCATCTGTGTAGATGTCCTTGTATATTGTCAATAGAAGGTCTCTATAGGCTTTTTTTGTTTTTTGTTTTTTGTAGTGAGGTTCCCTTATACTTTCTCTTGAAAATTTAGAAGCTACAATGATGTTGATTTACTTTATATGATTAAATTCATTGAGAAGGTTAAAAGAGGGCATGCTATTTCACCATCACGAAAGAATATATTTATTAGAAGCATTGCTATAAGTTATCATCACGGGCTATTATCATGGTCTAAAATTGGAGCTCATCCTCTTGCGGCACTTAGATTTTCAAACTTCCATTTCCTAGACCAAATAGTATTTCATAGTTTAATTTCTCATTCTACTTGTACTTTGGTAAGCACAAGCTAAAATTGTTAATAAACACAAACTAAAATTGTTAATAGAGTTATATTGAGTTCCTGCTACTTTTATTTGGTCTTTATGTGTGAGAAAGAATGACTTAGGCTAGGTGATTGAAGTTCAAACGTCTTTAAGTGCCGCACAAAGGTGAGTTTCAGCCTCAACCCATGAAGTTAAGCATTTTTGAGAAACTTCTTAAGTTTCCCCTGCATGTGGTTGCTAACCTTCTTAAGTAAACTCAATTCATAGAAACTAGTGTAGGTTGAGGTGCCCATCACATTTAATAAATTAAATTAATTTTTATCTAGAAATTATCTTGTTTACTAGCGACATCTGATTTCCCATTCTGACATGTTTTAAATCTAGACCAAACCCCGGCTTGATAGGACCTATGCCAATTCATCTAGATCCTGAAGCCTCCAGCAGACTTTCAGAAGGCTGATTTTGTTTGCATATTGCTGCATCTTCACAGCCTTATGGTATATTATTGGAGTTTTTGAAGAGTTAATAGCATAAAAATGTTATATGGCTGTTTGTGCTGGGAAGTTAACCTGTGTTTGATTACTTGTGCAACATAAATAAAGCTTAATCCTAATCACATTGGGGAATTTGCAAACTATGAAATGCAGGTTTGGGAACTCCTGCCAAACGTTACTATTGTCTATTAGTATACCTTCCAATTTTGTTAGGAAAAAACATCCGAAATATTTCTGTGCATCTGTCCTTGTAATTCGTATTTGTTAGATTTCCATTTCCTTGTTATAAACTTAATTGGTTACCATGTTGAACATGGCAGTCGACTAGATGGTGTTGATATCACGTGTAGAATATGTTAAATAGGGTTATGAATTCAGACATTCATTTTCCTTCAACAGTTAGTGTACATTTAAACTATTCTCTACTATGATTAACACAAACACTGAATAACAGCAAATAATGCTGCTGCTTTTATAACTAATAACAATGATGTTACTTTTTTGTACACTCAATATGGTTGATAATTTGACCTTTGGGATCATGGACTTTGATTTGATGCTAGTTGATACTGGTTCCAACAAGTTTCCTATCTACTTCACTGTAGAGAAACATTTGTATACAAAATTCAGATTTTGGACAATGTTTTTGCCTGGTAGAATTTCTTGAGCATGCCTTTGATTAGTTAAATGTCGGAAGAAAATATTAAATTATGTTGGATAGTAGGAAAACTAATACATTGCTTATCTGATCTTGTTGCACATATTTGAGGCTTTAAATGTTTATACACTTATATTAAGGATATATAATAGTCCTATCATGGCAATGCCCTATGGTTTATAATTTGATCATTAATTTGCATAGCTAAAACATACGGGACTGCATTCATTCTGTTGGTTTAATTACTATCTACAGCATAGTTTTGTTTCTAATTTGTTTGGCCCATCTTTTACCTTTTACAGCAAAAACTATCAACAACAAGTGATGCTCACTGGAAAGACAGGGAAGCTGCTGTATTGGCCATTGGTGCTGTGGCAGAGGGATGTATTGGCGGTCTTTATCCCCATCTTCCGGAGGTAATTCTTTAATTTACTTATTGTGATTTTATGTCTTCTTGAGATTTCAACAATTGATTATGTAGCATGATTTATCTCCAAGGACTAAGTAGACGAACAAGTAGGCGACCTATGTTCTTTAAACTTACGCATTTAACGTAATAATGTTGTTGGAGAGGAGGATCTCACCTTCTCGACTTGTGATCATGTGTGTATTTTAGATATCATAGCTTGCAGGAAAGCAAATGTCACTCTCAAATGCTGTTATTGTAGTCATTGACATGAGGTTTTGGTGAATTTTGTGCGCTTTATCTTGTGGTGGTAGAAATCTCTTGGCCTGTTGTTTTAGTCTATGTCATGTTGAGCTTTTATTTTCAAGCATATTGCTTAGTTTGCTTACACTTTCTTGTTGAATGCAAGGCAATCTATCCGATGTAATGCCTGCTTTGCTTTTCAGTTTTTTTTTTAGAACTGGAAACTAGGAGTGGGATAATTTGTAGGATAAAATTCTATAGTGCTAGTCAACTAAAAGTAGGGCTAGGAAAAATTTTAACGAGTTAGTCAACTAGAATTGTATGAAAATTAGAATTAGGATAATTATAATAAATTATCCCACTTTTGCCATAGCTCTGTACAAAAGCGAGAGTTCTAGTTTCTCAAATTATCTTAAGTTCTAGACTAAAACTAGGTGATAAAAATAGAACGCTTATTTTTCTTTTCTCCATTTTTATTTTTTCATATTTCTTTTCTTTTCTCCATCCTTTCTTCCTCCAATGGTCACTGCCATTATCAGACTATGCTCATCAGATCGGGTCGCTTCTCCTCTTCTCCTCTTCATATTTATCTTCTTCCTTTACTGGATATCAGAATTATATAATTAATTTATAGTAAAAAAATTGGATACATAATTAATTAAAAATAACTAAAATTGAGTTTTTAGTTAGATATAAGGGAGTGAAAAGAAGAAGAAAATGGGAAATATTTATTTAAAGTCTTGTACTATAATAGTAATTCAAGAAATAAAAAAGTTACAAATTATTATAATGAACATTATTGTAATTGTTATCTTACAGTCTAACCAATGGTAATTCAAGACTAATTAACATATAATGAATACTTGATCATTAATAATAGTGAGTTAAAATGTATAAATAATAGTCATATCCTCAAAGATTAACACAAATTATCCCACATAATTTTACGAAGATATCCCATTTCAAAAAAAAAAAAAAAAATTACGAAGATATCCCATTTCAAAAAAAATTATTGCCAATTATCCCATTGAGATGTCCCACTTTTAAAGCATTATCCCATTGTTACGATTATCCCAATTATAGTGAGATGTTTTAATTAACTAACATTCCTAGTTCCATTTGCATGTAGCACTTGTTCCAGCACAAGCACATGGGCCTTGTTGCCTAGCTTATCAACTTTTAAATATCTTAATTGAGCGTAGCCATGTGCAGCTCCTACAACCTAAATCCTATACATTAAGTAGTGACAAAGAAAATGCACATTGCAGTCAAACTTGTATCCGATCATTTGAAAAGTACGTGTTAAAGTATCAAATTATAGGACCTAGTCATTTAGGTACTATGATTCATGCAATGGCCTAAACACAAGATCATGTGATCTGGAAATCTTTGACCCTTGGATCGATGCCTTGTAAAATGAATAGATTAAAGCAGCGAGGTGAATGAAATTACAGTTTGGATCTTCTAAACTAGGAGAACATACTGCTAGCTGTTATTTCCAGAATTTTCAATTCAAGCACAATTATAAAACTGCAAGAGCATTTGATTTTTTTGAAAGGAACTTTAAACGCGCCAGATCTTTCTTAAGATACTGCTTTTTGGGAAAGGATTAGTATTGCTATTCAATATACATAAACATAATGGATTAGCTATCATGGATTTTATTTCTCATATGTAGAACTTATTACATCAGCTGCCGAAGTAAGATCAACCTCCTCACCCCTCTAGTCTGGTCTTGACAGAAGACACTATACAATGTACATAACTTTTCTAGCACAGGGCTGTTGGCACATACCTTTAAATGATTGAAAAATACACATCAAAGAAAAAGAAATCTTAAGTTTTTTCTTTTAACTCTTGAATCTTGCGCCTGTTCTCCTTTACGTCGAAGAATATTGCTGACTGTTTCGAGTGATTTAATAAGACAAGTCATATTATACACTTAATCTGCTGGCGGAATTTTCATCCTAGATACTAGAAATGAAATTATGTCACAAGTTCCTGTAGGACTTTCTGAAATAAGCTCATTTATGCATTTCTGGCTTGCTTATTTTAGCATGTAATCTTTTATGGTTTAGATATAACGTGCTAAACTTCTTGAGTCCGTGTTTATTTTTGTACATGTTTCTCCTCCATCATTTTTAGTTTGGAAGTATGTGCCTTTATTGTGAGATATTGAAATAATTCTATCATTTAATGTGTAGATCATTGCATTCCTCATACCTCTTCTGGATGACAAATTTCCTCTCATACGGAGTATAACCTGCTGGACGCTTTCTCGTTATAGCAAGTTCATTGTGCAGGTAAATTCTAACTTTTACTTGATCGGCTGTCTGACCTCGTTCGGTATTCTCTAATAGCAGAATGTTTTTCTTGCAATATTCTCGTAAATTAGAATGTTTTTCTTTCAATATTATAAAAGTAACATGAAATGTACCGCTAGTGTATTTTGAATGAAGTAATATCGCACTTTGCAACACCAGATTTGAAAGATATTGTAAGTACTACCTACCTATGAAACTTATTTTTTAAATCAATTTGTCTTAATCTTCTAGTAGACGAGTATCTTCCATTCACGGGGTACACATAATTGATGATAAGTGGAAAGATTTTGTATTAGAAATTTCTAAATGGGCTAATTATGATTATATCTATTGTTTGCACTTATAATAACGTGTGTGTATATTACATACATGATACATACAGATACTTGTATACATATACGATATTAGCATTTCTTGAGTAAATTATATCTTTTCTAATTTGCCAACTACTGCTGGTGTCCTTGTGTAAGTCCCCTGTTACAAAACTTCGAAGTTGTGGTGAGGACTCTAATGTTATAATTTTGCTCTTTACATGCCACTGCAGGTGCAGAGAGCGTCCATTTGTGGGCCAAATTCTGGACCCATAGAGTTATATCCTTTTTAAATCCACTTTAGAAACTCATAGACTCTTAATCCTTTTAAAATCCACTTTAGAAACTCATAGACTCTTAAGATTTGAACCTGGGTTGCTTTGATACCATGTCAAAGGCTCGACTCGAAACAATGTGGTCTCAATATTTTTTACCGCTTTTTTTGAGCAATATATTGTGGTTTTTTTCGATATATCAGGTGATGTTTCAGCCTCAAAAGATTGACCAAAATATTGCAATATTAATTTGGAGTCTTGGACTTTTATTTGTATTGGTTCGGATTTATGGTTTAACCGAGGTATATATCCAAACAAATATTCATGTATGTAAATAACTGGAAACAAGAATTAGGGCTCAATTGAAACCAAATTCTTTTGCAAAAGTTTTGCTAAAGCATCACCTTTCTCCACAGCTCCATTCTGCATCAATTATATGTATAGACATGCACGTTAACCCATATGACACCCTGATAGTTATTAAATAGCTCTCATATATCCCCGTGACCTGCCATTTAGAACACTGACCCGCCTTGTATAGGTGAGTAGATAGCGAATAATTGGGAGCATTAGTCTCTGTTGAACATGTCCCTGATATCTGATGTTTAAAATGCTGCTCTAACACCTTGTATAGGAGAGTAAACAGTTATTGCATAATTGGTAGCATTAGTTTGTGGCTAGTGAAACATTCTTTTTTCCCCCTTCCCCTTATCGAGTTTAAAACAATTCATCAGAATGTTGGATAATCCCAGAAACAGTGGACCTGATAGGTGGAAATGTGGGATAACCAATGGTTGGCTGCATGATGCCATGAACAACCTTACATATTTATAACTTCAAATGCTAAATGGTCTTGATGGTTGATGAAGCTTTAGTATCATGAGCTAGACTGAAAGTCAAGTCTCTGCAATAGTTCTTGATTGTTATTAACTAATTCTAGGTTGACATCTTGTATCATACTTTTGGTAATTTTGATTTGAGCAAAAATTTTGTAATTTAAATTGACCTCATCAAGAAATGAGTATATAATATGCAAATCAAGGGTGTATAAAATCAACTTGAGCATGCAAATATGATCAAGTGTAAGGCTGTGATCACTAGCAAATGGTTTCATGTTCTGGTGTTTTTCAAGTTTTCTATCACAAAGCCTTTATGCATTGTTTTAAATATCCCGACATGGCTCGATATATCTCCCGATATATCCTTTTGTAGGGCTTGTCATAGCTGATATTGTCTCTAAAAATCCTTTACAGGTTTTTGGCTATTTTGGGCGATATATCCCGGTATGGCCAATATATCAGTCAATATGTTGACCGACATATCCTTTTATATGGCTTACTGCAAAACAATATGGGCATTTGGCAATTTTCGGGCGAGATATCATGATTTTCCCATCATATCAAATGATATTTTGGCCTAAAAAATCAGACGAAATATTGCAACATTTGATTTGCACTTTTGATTGTTTTACAAGGTTGATTAGTGATCCTAAGCATATATTATTTACATTTTGTATGTTTAGATTTCATTAAGTATGTTGAGATTACATTTTAGTGCATTATACTGTATATGCAAACGTCCGTTATGACATTTCGATATTTACCACTTATCCCCGATATTTCTCTGATATCCACCATTTGATATGAATTTTGGCCATATGATAATTCCTGATATCTGATATTTCCCTGATATGAATTTTGGCCGTCTGATATTTACAACAATGTTCGGGCATGTATGAGAGGTATAATTATGATGTGTTTATGTCCAATTATTTATATATAAATTATCATGCAAGAATTTTGTTGTGTTCATGTAAACATACCCCATCATATAGAATCTATGTGCATCTGCACCATATTAGCTAATAATAATATAATGTTTAATATTTTTATACAAACTATTGTGTATTCCCTTTTTGCGGACCACATCTTATGCCTTTTCAGAGTACCTATCTCTGTTGTTGCCTTTTAGTTCTCCAAACAGTACTTTCTAGTTTTTCTTATTGGCTTGTTTGATATGATAATGGCAATATGGTGCAATGTATCTTTTGTTGTCCATATTGCGTGTCATATGCATTTCCTGACTGATTTATGCAGCATTATCGGTGCTCTAATTATGTTCTTTTATTGAATTAGCAAGTTCTATTCCCTAAGGGAATACTGTTATACTATATTTATCTCATTCTTTATACTGTTCCGTGTCGTAGGGGCTTGACCACCAAAATGGACATGAACAATTTGAAAAAATTCTCATGGGTTTACTGCGAAGAACATTGGACACTAATAAGCGGGTGCAGGAGGCTGCTTGTTCAGCTTTTGCTACTCTTGAAGAGGTTCTCTCCCTCCCTCCCTCCCTCCCTCTCTCTCTCTCTCTCTCTCTCTCTCTCTCTCTTCTCTCTATCTCTCTCTCCCCGCCTATCTCCCTCTTAATGACTTCGTGTGTATGCGTGTGGACACATAGAAGGATGTGTTTCTGCTTGTATGAGCAAAGATCCGAATTAATGATTGCCTTTGGTTTCAATCCATTGATTTCACAGTTATAATTGTTGTTGATGGCAGGAGGCTGCAGAAGAATTGGCTCCACACTTAGAAATCATTTTGCAGCATCTCATGTGTGCTTATGGGAAATATCAGGTTTCCTTTGCGCTTTTTTAATGAATCTAGTTCCAGTTACATCAGCTGCAGCTCATGCAAAATATTACATATTGTGTAGGATAGCAATTATTTTTAGTGGCTCATATGATGGCCAACTGCATGCTAAGGAATTATTTTCTTACGTTGATTATCTAATTCTCTTTTCAGAGGAGGAATCTCCGAATTGTATATGATGCTATTGGTACTCTAGCAGATGCAGTTGGAGCTGAATTAAATCAGGTATGAGCGTTCCTCTTACTCTGGTACTTGCATCTTCTCTATCCTTCTTTCTTATCAAGACAGAATTTTGGATTGGAGCCAACTATTGGTTTATTATTATCTACAGCCGAAGTATCTAGACATATTGATGCCTCCACTAATCTCAAAGTGGCAGCAACTTGCTAACTCAGAAAAAGATCTGTTTCCTTTGCTCGAGTGCTTTACGTCAATTGCACAGGTATCCTTTTTTCTTTCTCTGTTTTATCCTTATTTTCATTCCCTATCTCTCTGTAACAGTTCAAGTGCGCTAATTGCGTTATCGCTATGTACTTTACAAAGTGAAAATAAGTTTTTGGCAGATGACATTTACCATTATCCAACTTATCTGATCATTAGCTTTGTTTCTCCAGATATAACACTATCAGATAAGTTCTTGCATCTTGAAACCTTCGGTCTCTATATGCATTAGCCTTTTTAAGCCAATGTCAGATTGTAATAGTTGTTATTAGCTAATGGCTATGGAATATGTCGGTCTTAGCTAGTGCATGTTGGCATGCTTAATGTTATACAATATGTATAAACATTGTTTTGGTAAATAATTCAACTTGTTTCTGAATATCTATGGTCTTTCAAGGCAACATTAAGCAGTCAACATCTTCAGTTGTGTTAAAGGCTTAGCATCAAAGCTTCTATATATGTTCTTCCACAATGTCTATTGTCTATAAATCATTCAGATTCACCTGGGAAAAAGAGAACTGTTATTTAGAAATATATTTATTTGGATTTATATATTACTATCCCTCAGCGGGAGCACCCCCCGCCCCCCCCAAAAATAAAAATAAAAATAAAAAATAAAAAATAAAAAATAGAAAACATACAGACATACACACACTCACCCACAGAAAACTGCATCTTGGCCAATTTAGCCCTAAAACCACCCTAGACCAATTATCGTACCACTCAAATTCTAACATGATTAGGGTAAAATTCGAATTCTATCCTTATCTTTCACCTCTCTAAAAAGAGAAAAAAAAGGAGATAGGGGAGGGGAAAGTGAGAGACACAGATGGATGGAGGATAGTACACGGTTGCTTCGACGGCGGCCCCACCTCTATTTTTCTTTCACATTAGGGAGATGCTAATTGGTGTATTAAGTATGTTGAGAGTAATATAGTCATTGGAGAAATAGAATATGGAAGAATATGCAAGTATATTCTCTAACACAAGTTTGTTGACAACTTTAATTCTAACGCCAAATTGGAGGATAAATAAGTAAAATGGTTTGGGAGGTAAATTTAAAAATATCATAGATTTGAGGGTTATGTAGGTAAATAATCCGTATTATTATAGCTCCTTTTGTCCAGGTGTAGACTGGTCTGGACTAGTATTGTATTATGGTTTTTAATATTTTAATAATGTAGAAGAATTTATTTTTATTTTTCATGATTTTTCATTCTTCTCGGAAAAATACCTGTTGCATGTGGGGTGGGGTGGGGTGGGGGAAAGGGGTATTCAACATTTAGATTTTAGTTTTAAGTGAACTCTAACAAGTTTTACACCAATAATATTGGCTTTTATTCTCTGTTTCTCACTGAATTCTCGTTGCTGCAACATTTGATTGTTATTTCTGACTTCACTTGTCTTCACTTTTTTAAGGCTTTAGGTCCAGGATTTTCTCAGTTTGCGGAGCCAGTATTTCAGAGATGCATCAATCTTATCCAGATTCAACAGTTGGCAAAGGTGTTTAAAATTTTTAATTTATATACCTTGCAAATTCCTTAGTTTTATATGTTGACTTCCTTATTTGGTTTATTAAGATCTTTGATACAATTGCAGTAGCACTTATTGTTTTTTCATTTTTACTCGGATTTTTTTATAACTACATGCATGTTGACCTCATTAATCAGAGATGTATATAGTTCTTGACACTTCAGGAGAACTTAAAAGGAAATGCATTGGAGGACCTTAATTTATGGAAAATTACCATCATAATTGAGTATATACTTACCATATGCATGATGTAGGTGCTTCTATTTTATTTCAGGGTCCAGTCCACCTCATAGATGTCAGTATAATCTTGTTTTGTGTTTGTGCATACTGAATTTGCTGATTTAAGTTCTTATAAGTCCGTGCTGGGGTGTTTTTTTTAGTGTTAGATATTTTGGTTCTAGAGATGGTTGATTCCTTCCAATATATGGAGTGGGTAACTTCTTGGTTGAGTTTGTTATTGCATTAACACAATATCATCTTAGGACTCTGATTTTGGACTTTATAAGTACATCATTTGAGAGTAATGTGTAGTTAAAAATATACATGTTCAGAGCGTGTTTGTCATATTTGATCTGTTGAAGGGTCTGCTAGTATGCAAGTGATAGAAGTCAAGTTTATAGCGTATCAGCATTAAGGCCCCGCTTGTCAAGGGGCTTTGAGACGAGTTAAGGGGGATTTAAACTCCACATTTACCCTCCAAGTAGGTTAATTTGCTCAAAGGGTTAATAAACCCTGTGAAGGCTTAAAATTAGTTAAAGTCTCATTTGGAGGTGTTAACTAAGCCTTGTGAGGAAGTGGCTTAATATTTATTCCCTCTCTTCATGTAGGGGTAGGGAGAGTAGTTTTTAGAAAATAAGAAAGACCTTTATGATAATTGAAGTAACTATTACAGTTTTTCTATGGTAAACATTCTATGACATAAATAGCAATAATTTGAGGGAAAAATTTTATGAAGAGTTTGAACAGTTTTTTACTTTTATTCTTGAATAACTGGTCTTTTGTTGAGATTACTGATTAATCAAAAAGCCTTCTAATTTTTTTGTTAGACAATTAATGATAATTTATTTATAACAATTATTTTCCCTATATAACAATAAATCATTTTTTTTAAGATTTATTTTATTAGCCTTATCAACAAAACTTTATTTAAATAATAAGAAATTACAATAGTTTAAAAGTTCAGATGAATACAAATCCTAGTTGAATATATTTTAATGTAATAATTATTAGTAAATTTACAATATGTAAAGGTTGGTAATATTAAAAAAACCAGGGGAATTAATCTCTTAATCCTTCTTTATTTATTAAATTAATTAGTAGATAGCTTCACTCAATCTGTCATTATCTATTACCTTATTGTAATACCTTACGAAGATAATAACTCATGAATCAAGCTAGATGAATGATTTCTACCCAGAGTTAGAAAAAGAGATGCAGAATGCAATGACTACTTTGCTTCTTGTAAAGAATATAGAGTGTCCTTAATCTCTTCTTAATGGAGATATAAAAAATACATGTTCCAGTGGTCACTGAGAATTTTGAAAGAAATGCTACTGTTAGCAATTTCTGAAAGAAATACAAATGTAACGAGGATGCTGTAGGGAGGAAGAGACTCACGTATGTGAGCAGCAAGCGTGCACGTCACTTAGGCGAAAAGAAGGGAGCGACAGAAGTTTCTGGGAATATGGAATTGATTTGGGTTTTAGATTTTAATTTATAATGGATTTGATTGGATATGGGCATGAATAATAATCTGGTTCAATTTAAAGTTAATTTATGATTTGGCAATGCAACGGGGGGTTCCGTCCAGTTTTGGTCGAACATTATCTTTCAAAACCGACCCGAATTGTTTTAAAACCAGTACTGAACCACTGAGCTTCGATTGGTTTAAGATTGTTTTGTTCAGTTTGAACATTTTATTGCTAGGCGCAAGGCAGGGGATTTAGTGAGATGCTGTTTGTTTGTCACTGGTACTGCACCTTATGGTGCGAAACATGATCAATTATTGACTGTTCTTATTGGACTCTGAAAGTATGCAACTCTGAAGAAACAAATTCATATTTTTAACATGACATATTCTTTTTAATGGATATAAAGGCATACAGGTCAGTTAGGTAGGCCAAATAAACAATGTAATGATCCAGTAGTTTAACTCACACATCTTGACCCAAAGGTTAATACGAATTTTATGTTGGTGAATTTTATGGTGTTATTTGATATTTAGCTATAAAGTTGCAATGGTGCAATTTCCATGATTTATAAATTCTAGTCAGGGATAGCAATTTTCTTTATGAGAGTTTCAAATCAGATTAATTAAAGGCCTTCGAGTTTTGTTTGTCTAATCCAGCATAAATTTTGTTGTAAAAAACTGAAGCTGAAATCCCACCTCACACATTCTTATTTCAGAATCTCTTATGGTCTGATTTCTTTTTGGTTTGTAGAGAGCCAGATTTATTCGTAATTTCTGATATGTAATGAGATCTAATATTTTTCATGTGTAATGGTATGCATCAATTTTTTATCCTGTCTAGTAGTGTATATACACAACTCTATCTAACATTCTTATTGCTACCTTTGTAAGCGCACTTATATCCCAAGTCCTAACTTAATCCTGTAGTCCTGTGTAAGCCTTTTATCCCTTTTTCTCCTATGATTGTGTCTATGCCTATTCCAACTTGGCACTATATTTAAGGATCTAGGTGGCACCATAAGATTCTTAAGACATTCTTTTCTTGTCATTGAAACGTGATGGCATCGATGTAACACATCACTTTAAGGTAACACCCTAACAAACCACCCCTTGTACCTGTCGTTGCACCTTGGTGGCATCGATGCAGCACATTGCGGTGGTTATGTGCCGATGAATGTTCTTTAGGATTTATACCATGGAGATCCGATTAGGTTTTATGCGAGTTGTCAACAACCTAAGGTAAGCAACCCTCCTTTTAAATTTGGTCAGGACATGCAGTGAAAAGATTAACATTAAAGCACACTACTATCAGAGTTAAAATTAGACACCATCTACAGTTGTTATGCTTACACTATGCTTTTTCTTAAAACGGTAAGATCTACTTTATTAACTTGTCGTGCTATAAATTTGGCCTTACTACCTTGACGGCATATGGTTGTGATGCAGGTTGATCCTGTTGCAGCTGGTGTTCAGTATGATAAAGAGTTCATAGTTTGCTCCCTGGACCTGCTGTCTGGTCTCACTGAAGGTCTTGGCAGTGGGATAGAGAGCTTGGTAGCTTCTTTTCGTTCATTTGCCTTCTGATTTTAATTGTTTTCTCTTTACGTGGAAGTATGCACTTTAGTTGCTAACTAGACATATTGGTCAATGCATCCTTTAACTCTTTCGGCTTGCTACATGGGTTTCTTGACAACTATGTTACTATTTGTGTTTATAGATATGTCAGCATGAGTTTGGCAGAAGCCCACACATGGCCTCATCCGATTATTTATACTGTGCAGCTTGACAGAGTTGTACTTTTCTTTTTGCTGAACAAATTGACTTTTTCGTTATATTAAAAAAGATCAATTTTGTCAGTATTACGATGACTTTAGGATTACTTCTGAGCCTGAATCAGAATTAATTTGAGGCAGAGTTTCCCAGCTTGTGTTATACCTGATACAAACATCTGACATGGCTTAATTCAATTAGTTATATTGTGCAAGGCTTTGACAGAATTGTGCATTTCATTTTACTGTACAAAAAATGACTTTTGTTACATCTGAAAATCAGCTTTACGTCAGTGTGTGACACCTTTAGGTTTACTTCTGAATATTTGGGAAACATTAATTAGAATCAATTTGAGACAGAATTTCGCAGACTGTTGTACCTGATACAGCATACTATTACATTATTTGTCGCTCTGGCAACATGATACTACTATTTCTGCAGAAAGCGCCTTTATTTCCAACTAGGCTATAACACACTGAAGTTGTTTGGATTGAATTAAGCTGAAGGATATTCTTTTAGCTGAGTTTAATGTTAAGGAACACTGTTTTTCTAGCTGTTTCCGAAGTCATAGTAGGTTTTGCATTGTGATTTCCCCCAAAACACCCAGCAGATGATGACCTCTATCCTTATATATTTTCCTCGTGATTGTTATTGAAGAAAACATCTGAGACTGGTGAGGTTCTACTCAAATCTCTTCTACACGATTAAACTATGACTTTATTTTTTTACTTGAGGGGAAAAAATAGTGTCTCTGCAGAATGTTGCATTAATGGGGCCTTTGAGGACATTGTCTACAGATGTATGTCAATTTGAATTGCATATAATATTCTGGTATGTATACTATTGCTAAGATGAATCATTTTTTTGAATGTTTCTTTGGGTAAGAAGTAGATGCTGTCTTGACTTAGAAATGAGTACTTTCTTCAATCAATGTTTTCTGTTTTCCCCCTTATCTTTTAAAACTGCTGTCAGACTCAGTTTATATCCTCCTCTGATAACTAGTCATTGTCCTAATGGTAAATGCTTTTGATTTATATACTTGGGCACAAACACAAAAAACCACCCACCCTCCTTCCTAGTTATGTTTTGCAGTAGACTATATTTGTCTAGGGCCTTTAGGCTACTTAATTTTTTTTGCTTATCTGAATATTTCAAATTTGTAACTTTATTTTATCCTAGTTGAATTAATCTGCAATGGTTTATCGAATGTAGTTGCAATTGCCAGATGATAATGCAATATTTTGATATTCCTTTGACCCTTTCCATTATCATAACAAATGAATGTGTATACAATTACCTATATGTATTTGACGGGTGCCTATGGTTCTTTCTATGCAAGGATTGGTGCAGTGGGTGTATTTTTTCAGGAGGCCATTGTTACAGTGAGAAACTTATTCCAAATTTCCATGCATTTATTGTAGGTTGGAAAAAGCAATTTGAGAGATTTACTCTTGCAATGCTGCATGGATGAAGTAGATGATGTTAGGCAAAGTGCCCTTGCACTTCTTGGGGACCTTGCAAGAGTGAGTTGAGATCATTTGTGCACAGTCTTTACAATCTATTACATATGTTAATTTGAAGTTAACGCTAAAATTTCAACTCTTCCAGGTTTGCCCTGTGCATTTACATCCTCGCTTGTTAGAGTTTCTAGATATTGCTGCAAAGCAACTGGTAGGTTATTATTCTCAAGAACAAAAACTTAAAAATTGTGTAGTATGTGATTCCTGATCGTTTTTAATATTTCAGAATGCCAGTCAATTAAAGGAGGCTGTGTCTGTAGCAAATAATGCTTGTTGGGCAATTGGAGAACTTGCAGTCAAGGTCAGTTCATGATTCCATTTTAAACACAGCTAGCTTCTTCATTCCTTGACCATCAAATAGTAAAGCTGTCATGTCCATTCCCGCTAGTGCTAGTGTGCCTTCCTTTCCCCTGGAAACCCTTCTTTACCTGAACCCGCCCTCAAAGAGAAGATTAGACTGATCTGCAGTTTGTATCTTGGTTAACTGTTGGCCATGATGGTTCTAATGTAACTTCATTACTTGAAACTCACAAAAACATACATTAGCCCTCGAGCAAACACACATATTTTAAATTAAATGATGTTCACATCTTAAATGAGTTTTTTCTCCATTTATTCCTTCTTTTATTTCATATTATTAATTTTGGTGATATTGTGTCTGTGCCCCTTCATTTTTTATCTGTGACGAAGGTGTTCCTGCTTTGTCATGTCAGCCCAGTGTAGTAATTCTTGTCTCCATACATGAAAATACTGACAGCTGTTACAGGATTGATTAGCTTATTATTTATAATAATTATACTTAATTTATCTTTACTTTTTTTCACATTTAACTCGAGGTAGTTTTCTTTTTTGCTATTCAGAGTTACTATGAAAGAAGATATGTTAACGATTATTGAAAACTTAATACTATCAAGGTTTCTTTGATAGGTCTGTGTGCGTTGATTTATTGAGGGTTATGATCATGCCATATACATTTGAATTAGCAAAGAACAAAAATTTCTTTGAATCATTTAAGTTTCAATCCAAAACATCAATAGATAGGAAACTATGATATCAAAGATCAGATACTATGATAATCGTAATTTTTCAGTTTTTGATCCTACATAATCAATAGAGGAACTGAAAAACGAGAGAACTTACAAGAATTTCAATCAGATGGTACTGACAGCTTTTATTCGTCCAGACAGAATGACAACTTGTGATCACTCACTCTTGTTATAAGCAAACTCAACAGCTAGATAACATAAGAGTCTATGTCAAATCTTAACTGATTTTATCTAGAAACACAAAAAGAAAATAATAGCTAATCAAAATAAATCTGTAAAGTAATTAGAAAATAAAAAAGAATTAAGCAGACCTACTTATTGACAATGTTGACAAAAAAATGTATCAACCAGTATCTTTCCGAGACTATCCTCTTTATTAAACAAATCTCTGAATCCTTCTATTTAAAGCTTAAGCAGAAACTTTTTCTTCGTCATGACTTCCCTGCTTGGAGATGAGGTTCAAGTCAATCTGTTATCATGCGGGTGGAGGGAATCATCTGAAACGTGGATATGAGAAAATTGTTCCATTTTAATCTTCCTAAAATAACTAGATCGTTTATACTTCTGAAAATTTTTCCCTTTATCATTCAAGTATAATAAAAAGATTCAACTTAACTATATGATATCAGAAGATTCTAGTGTAAAGGTACCAAACATCGTAGAATTCTAACTAATCAAGATCTTTTATAAAATTATTACTTTAAAGCTGCTACATTGTACTTTGCTACAGTAATGCCATTACAGTTTGGCGGAAGTGACGAGCATGTGATAAACACGAATTCCTATTATGACTAGAGGTCCCACCACTTTAGTTTTCTTAAAAGAAAAAATTGGAGGTTTCCTAATTATGACTATGAGCCGCCTATGTTTGCTTATCTTTTTCCTTTCAACCATTAACTATTTGTGGTTTTCTTTTGTATCATGGAAGATACTACAAAATGCACTCCCGCATATGCCAACATGTCAATGCGTCTTATAGTAATTGATATTTAGTTCCATCATAATAAAATTGCAATAGTCCTGGCATTTGGTTGTGAAATGTTAATAGAAAAAAAGGAAGTTACCGAGCAACAGTTTCTCAAGTTTTGAGGAGCCTAACTTGGTTTCTGCATGAACTTAATTTAGAAAACTAATAGTACTAGTTTCTTACAATTATACAAAATTTGGTTGCTCTATGGTACCATTCAATATTTAACAGGTAATTAGTTGTTATTTTCCACTCACCTATCTACTTATGATGATATCACTGGTGTTAGTATTTGCAGAGAATTCTCATCTTGAGTTGGATTTGTGGGAGGAGGGAGGGACAAATGATATTCCTATTAGTGATACAATTGAAATTGTATCCTAGATTTAAAAATAGAAGAAGGTAAGAAGGGGAAGTGCCCTCTTGGGAGGGAGGGAGCCTGCTATGTTCTGTTGAGTGATTTAAACAGCTACAAGATAGCTGCACATGTATGATATAATAATTACTCTAGTCTAGTATCCGTGACAAGGTAATACCAATTTGTATACCTGTAATCTAGTGCTGTTCCTCCTACCTTTTTGTTAGAAATAAGCTGAAGAAATTTCTTCTTATGTTTGGTCTATCAGATCTAAATCACAGGAGGCCAGGGCATTTTATCTATTTCCCATAAGCATGTTCAATTGAGATGGACATGAGTATATAATATTCCTCTCCCTCCCTCCCATATTTCTTCATTTTATTTCCATTTCTTCTTATTGGAAAGTAGGTAATTTTGAGTCTCTTTGGTAGCATTTGGATTCTGCAATCTAGGCTGCCACTTTCAATCTAGTCTGGCTCTTTCTTTCCTTGCTTTAAATTTTCTTTTGGTGTTTTTGAGAAATGGATCTTGTGGAGTGCGTAATTTCCAGCATTTATAGGATAGAATCTTAAGACTCTTTTATTTCTTTCTGTTACCATTTATAGGATAGAATCTTAAAGACTCTTTTATATGTGTATATGTATATATTTGCTGGACAATCTTTTTTTTATGTAACAGCTCTACAGCACTGTCAAAACATTTAAGGGTGAAAGAAAAGTATATAGCGGTGATGGACAGAAGGAAGTTGATGTAGATGCCATATTCACTTTTTGTACTATTAACTTTAGTTTGCACTGTCAAGGTAGTATACATTATACATCACCTATTTAGCAGGATTACTGCACCCTTAATGTTTTTCCAAATATATCATTAGCCACAATAGTTCTACTCATCATTTTAGTTTGGTTTATTTCTGAGTTTGGTTTGTTTTTGAACCTTATTGTTTACTTGAATATTCATGTTAATGACTGTATCATCAATAAATTTAGGTTCGCGAAGATATTTCTCCCATCGTGTTGGCAGTTATATCTTGCCTAGTCCCAATCCTAAAAAATCCTGAGGTTAGTAATCATCTTTCTTTCATCATTTGTCTGTACTTTTGGCTCATTCGACGTTTTCCTTGTTTGAACAGGGTCTTCATAAGTCACTCCTAGAGAACAGTGCGATCACTCTTGGGAGGCTTGCGTGGGTCTGTCCAGATCTTGTAGCACCACATATGGAGCATTTTATACAGTCTTGGTGTTCTGCATTGTGCATGTAAGATGATCATTTCGCGTATCTTGCTTTGTCTACTTAGAGAAATAAGAAAGATGTTTTACTCGTTGCATTTATTTTGAGATGCACTTGAGTATACTAATGTAAAAAAAAATGCAGCATCTCTCTTCTCCAACTATTAAAAATTTGATTTTATTTAATTTCCAAAGTTTTGATACTCTAAGATCCTATGGAGCTTTATTTGTTAGTTAACTTCGGAACCACAACATTGCCACAGCTAAATTGCATATGCTTTTCTTCACTTCTGATTTCATGCTGTATGAATTATTGCTTGCGTATTTATCTCTCTTTTTTTTGTATGTTACTGAGTCTTATCCTACAATTTCTGAATTCATTAATTTGCATTTGGTTGTTTGTTTATCTCACCAGTTTGATCACATATTCGGTCATGTTGAGACTTAGACATATTTATGAGTTCATTTTCTAATTGAGGTGGGATGAAATTCCAAACAACTCAAGTGATCTATGTTTCATTTTCTCAAGTTTTGTTTATTTCTCACCTTTAGGGTAGTAAACTTGGTGACTCATGGTTGGCCTCCATACACATCAGTTACAGTCTGACCAGGATATTGGTTTTACAGGAGGATTTGTGTCTATATTTTCATTATTTTTTGCGTTCAATATTGTATGGCCCACGCACTTCAGTTTGTTGAATATGGTTCTGATGTCTTCTGATCTCATACTCATCTATCAGAGACTAGAGCTACTTATTAATTTCACTTATATTTCTCACTTGCTTTTATCAGAATATATCTATCATTTAGCTTATATTGATTTATTCTTCATAGGGTGTTTATGCATGAACATACCTAGTAAATGTAGTTCCCCCATTCTGGTTATTGATAGGCTAAACTGGTAAAATTAGATAAGAAATGAGGATGTCTTCGCTCAAGTGATTTTACTTTTACTAATTCTCTACTGGGTCTAACTTCCCCAATTAGGTGCAGTATTTCTTGTTGAGTTTTTATGGTTGTCAATTTCTATGCTGGATTTTTCTCTTTTAATAGTAAAGGACATCTTTCTATTGTTTTTCCCTCCTCAACTTTTTTTATCTAACTTATTTTTTCTTCTACATGCCTCTCTTCTTCTCTTTTATTGGTGTTGATATTTACTCTTAGAGAATCTCTTATGTGGCCGGATGTCTTGTTCATGGAAGAAGCCTTCCTGTGGCTAGGTGTATGTGTGGGCTCATGCACTCAGCAGGGTGCTTCTAAAGCATTTAGGCAGAACAAGACAGCTGTTCCTCAGGATCATATTTGGTGCTTGCTTTATTTGTAATAGGGCTTACTTCTAACCTGTTATTTGAAGAGAGGGACGTTGGAGCTGATAAAATCTAAAAGAGACCTTGAAATATTTAGATATAGGGTGAATGATGTTCGTACAACGTTTAACGAGGTTAAACAACCGAAGTTGTCACGTGAAATTTGGTTATGTAATATTCTCTCGTAAGCTTTGAAGAGTGAACAACCCACAAAAGATGTTAATAATCTACATTACAATTCTCTACTTTCTTGCATTCCTTGATGTAACCAATATGAAAGTCCTTACGGATTGTTTGTTTCTACAGGATACGTGATGACTTTGAAAAAGAGGATGCATTCCGAGGTCTATGTGCCATGGTACGTATATCTGCATTTTTTCAGATGTCATGGGTATTAGCTGATATTATCATGTGTGCTGACATCTTAGCGGCCTCCATAGGTGAGAACAAACCCATCAGGTGCTGTGAATTCGCTCACTTACATGTGCAAAGCAATTGCCAGTTGGAATGTAAGATATGACATTCTGCAGCCTAGTTGCAATTTTAAATGCTTTAAGCTTCTTTTTGTTAACTTTGTAATTGAATTTCAGGATATTCGGAGTGAAGATCTACAGATTGAAGTCCGGCAAGTACTGAATGGGTACAAACAGGTAAATATTGGGATTTTCTTTGATAAGCTTCCATTTTTAAGTCTATAGACTTTTGACAAACAAATGTGCCTAAAAAACTTTGTTTTAGATGCTCGGGGATGGAGCCTGGGGGCAGTTTATTTCTGCTCTGGAACCCCAGGTGGCTGAAAGGTTGAAAAGATACCAAATATAGCAAAAAGGCTGAAGCATTCATTCTCCTCATTTTATGCGTTTATTCTATTACCATACTTCAATTCTTGCATCTGAGATAGAACTGCACAGAACCCAGCAATTGATTGGTTTGAAGAAATATTGTGTGACGATTGCGGAGCTCCAAGAGTGAGATTCCATATCAGGTTGTGTTTATTCAATCATTCCCTTGGTAGACAGATCTTGTGCATTATTGTATAATCAAAGAAAAGTTCAGTTGAGTTTTCGGGGGTCAGCAGATTAGGCTAATCGAAAGCTCTTCCACTACAGTTTGACCCTTGATTTGTGTTCTATTACTTGTCTCGGTGGGTTCATTTTTTGTTTATACCCTACTGAATCCTGTAGTAGGCAGCTGGTGAGTTACAATGAGGTCGTGTATTTTATTTTGTTCGAGGTCAAAGTTGTTTTTTTTTCCTTTGAAAAGACGGGTTTGTGGGGTGTAGTCATTGCAACAAGTTATTGCATACCCTGCTATCTTTATATTTTAATTTGTTTGTTCCCTCATCATAAGGGAAGCTAGATCGACCCTTCTATTGTTAGAAGACAGACTGTAGTGAACTTTTTTTTAAAAGATTTGATTTGTGGATATAATGCAATGGAAATTGGTTTTTGTGTGATGATGCGTTTTTCCGTTCATATAAATCCGGACTTCTGATGTTTAATTAATGCATCTCACGGTCTAAACTCATGCTCGAAACACTGAGGGGTGGTAAATTGTTTCTAGGTTCTTCGTGTGGGATCTTCTGCATAATGTGTGTCATTTGTTTGGAGTTGTTTTGAGCTACTGGCATAGATTGGGAAGTTTGATAGTGATGGCACTAATGTTGATAAAAGCCTAATAGAGCTGGAGGAGAGTTGTGGTCCTGTGGACTTGTGGGTACTTGAAGGTAGAAGACCCTAGAAAAATGAAAGATCAGAGATGACCTTTGTTAGCAGAGTAAGGGTTTCAGTGTTCAGCTCAGTGTAGATCCGTGTACTTTTTTAGTGTTTTGCATGTGTGTCTTGTGGGCGAGAGAGGGATCCAAGGGAGAGAGGAGGGGCTGGAGCCCTGGAGGCTGGGAGATGGTGGAAAAGATGGAAGAGAAAGATACATATGAACACGATTGAGAATTTTAGATGTAGACTGATGAAGATGGGGGCAGTAGAAGTTTAGAAATCACACTGAATACCCCTGGAGCTTTCTGTGTTTTCTAGTAAAACCCCCAGAAACTTTCAAAATCACGCTCGATTGCCAATAACTTTTGGAATTGCGTAAAATCCCCAATAAGCTTTCTGTTTTTTGCAAATAATCCCTATAAAATAGAACTAGAAAAATAGCATAAAAAGGCATTTTGAATTTATTGAGGGTTAAATGTAATTTAACCAAAACAGATATGGGGTTAGCTGCAAAAGTTGTGGGTGCTTCAGTGTGATTTTGAAAGTTATCGGGGCTTTATTCGAAAGTGCCGAAAGTTCTTTCTAGTTCAGTATAATTTATCGTTTACAAAAAGTGGCGGGTTTTTCAAGTTCACATGGTAGAGGGTTTAGGTGGGAAACCATCCGAATAAATGCAAGACATGATTCACATGAAGATATCCTCCATTTTTTTGTTAGTACCTGCTACAAAGGTATATTTTGTTTAGGACTTCAATAAATATATGCGTACAAAGGTATATATATATATATTTATAGAGGAAAAGTAAGGAGACATTGTTCAACTATCACATTTAAGTGGGTTTGAATGATGAGAAAAATTAATCTAAATAATAATAAATAATATAAAAAATCAACTACTTTAAAATTAATGTTGAGCATACATGTAGGGACTGTTCGGATTTTTTATAATAAACTACGTGATAACTTTAGTAACACGGATACTAAGGGGGTGTTTGTTTTAAGAGCTTTGCTACAGGGACCCAAAATATGGGACCAATAGAGGGGACTGTTGGCCCTTTGGTTTTGATGATGCTTTAGCAAACAATTTACAGCTAATTGGTTTTCTAGTGGTTGTGGCTTATTTTCCTTTTCAGGACATCAACACATGGTGAAAAGATCTCTATATTAAGAGTTGAAGATGCAAGTTTATGTGTGTCAATCACCTAGGTATAAGAGAACTTTATTTACATATATCGTATGACTTTATTTAAGCTCAGTATGTATACACAACACAAGTCTGTTTCAAATGATTCTTGGTTCAAACTTTATTAGAATTGTTTTTTGTTTCTTGTTTACATTTCTATTATACTTCATAATATTTATAATGTACTCAAGAAATATAAATACAATTTCATAAGTCATATTTTAATGAAAAACAGGTTTTCTGTACACTGTTCAAAAACAGTGAGCTTTTACAAAATAATATTGCATTTCCAACAATTCCTTTTTTCAAAACATGCTTATTCTCACATTTATAATCTTTGCCTAAAGTTTCATATTTGTTGGACAACATTTGCTATCTTATACATGCCTGAAAATCCATTATCAAAACTGCAGTTTTCATGATTATCTGTTTTCGGTCGACCGAGCATGACGCTGCGGTCGACCGCAAATTATCCCGAGAGCATACTATGAGTTTCAGCCTTTGGCGGTCGACCGGCCATGGATCAGCGGTCGACCGCAGATATAGCCGTTGCACTGTAACGGCTACTTCTCTGTTTTGTTTTCTAATGGGTTTTTGGTCTTTTTACTTGAGTTTTTACTGATGTATTGGGTTGTTATAAATACCCTACTGCTTTCAACACCTAAATTAACTCAAGAAAATTAATTACTTAAGTTTAAAAAGTTTGCAAAGTGTTTAAGAGGTGTTTAGTGCCTTGTTTCAAGCCTTGTTGCAAAAGAGCAGTTTTTCACAAAGAAGAAGCCTTGAATTCAAATTAAGGAATCCATCCTCATCATCATTTCTTCAGCTCTTCTTACTCATTGAGAAGTTTTTCTAAACTCTTCCTTATATAGCTTATTATTTCATTTTTATTTGATTAGCTATATTCATTGAGTTATATTATTTTCATTCACTGTTATCACACACACTTTTTGAGCTTAAATATCTTCATACCATATAGTGTGGGTTGTGGGGTGTGATTTAGTGAGTGTGAGCTTCATTGAGTTCTCACTTGTTATTTGAGAACAAAATCATTGTATTTAACTTTTATTTGTGAGAATCACTTGTAATACACTTGTACACCGAGAGAAGTGTGAGGAGAGAGAGACGGGGTCAAATCCAATAGGAGTGGCGTCGATTGACGAACCTAGGGAGAGGTTGTAATCGAGCACTTGAGGAGGAGGATACGGGCTAGGTTCCTACACTTAGTGTGTAAAGTGTGATTGTTGAGTGATTGTGTAGTGTGAGAGTTTTCGGTGAACTTGTAAACCGAGTGTGTAGAAGTTCCGGCTTCCAAACCGGATTGTGATAGTGGATATCTCCTCGAGGTGAGGAGCGGGGACGTAGGTCGTGGGGACCGAACCTCGTGAACATATCGTGTGTTTGTGTTTTGGTTGGCGTACATATTATTCATCTTTATTGCTCATATTCATATCATATTTATTCTTGCAAGAACAAATTGATCTACATAAATTTTAATTGCTATTAATTGGGACTAGATTAGCATAAGACCCTAATCACCCCCCCCTCTAGGGTCTAACAGGGACAAGTAAGGTGTCCCCCTCCTATTGGATAATGAGTTGGCTATCATTAATGATGGTCAACTCATTATCCAATAGGAGGGGGGCACCTCACTTGTCCCCTCTATTGGTCCCATATTTTGGGTTCTTGGGGAATTTTTCTTGTTTTAAATCCTATAATTTTAGGATATGGATTTCACCATGGGATTTAAAATGCATAGGTAATTTGTTATGGGTTGAGATTCCTAAAACTTTGTTTGTTTCAATAATATTTTAGAATTTGGAATATTATAATTTATAATATTTTTGTTTGTTTTAAATTTTTTGGAATTTGAAATCCTCAATTTGTCTAACACTTTTGAAATCCACCCCACATCCCACCAAAAAAAAGATTTCACAAATCCTTAAATATAATATTTTTTATTTTTTAGGGATTTGATATTCTAAATTTTTTTTGAAACAAACAAGTTTTATGGAATTCTAAAACCCAAGAAAAACCCACTTTTGATCCTAGAATTTCAAATCCCATCCAAATGCCAAATTTTTTTTGAAACAAACACCCCCTAAATGTTCAACTATACTCGACAACTACAGTAATACTATACCCAAAATGGTACATTTTGCTGAGAATTAAGTAGAGGTTATCCACTATGATTTTTGGCTGCCACATCAATCTCCTATTTATCCAAATAAACAAAGTAAAAACTTCAAAACCATTATATAGCCTAACAGCTATGGTACCTTTCAAGTGAAAAAAAACCTGACCGAGCAGGCCCCCGCATACCCTCTATGACTCCTTATATCATTCAATTTTGAACAAATTTTAAAAACCAACCCATTTTCAAACTTATTCATCAAAAACAATCTATTTGAAACTTATTTGTCAAAAGCGACCTAGTTTCAGCCAGTTGCCTGAAACTGGGTAGCTTTTGACAAATAAGTTTCAAACAGGTACTTTTTTACAATTATTAGCTAGTTGGTTGAAACTGGGTCGCTTTTGACAAATAAGTTTCAAATAAGTTGTTTTTTATAATTATTTTTGAAAATGAGTTGCTTTTCAAAATTTGTCCTTCGATTTTTGCTCCAATATAAGTGGCAAAACTATGATCATAAACTAACACTTTAATTCCGGGCCCACTCTGTCAACCTGTCCTATGTGTTCTCAAAGATGTAGTGTCAGTCCCCTCCATTCTCTAACTCCCAACTCCCAGAAGTTCAACATCTGAGACATCACAAGATCCGAGACCCCTTATTACAGGCAACATTTTGCCCAATCACACAACGACACGTGTAGAACCACTCCTGCTCCTGCACAAAAAAAAAACTCTTAAACGATAATCTTACCGCTTGCGGAACGCTTGCTGTGTTTCATGGGGCTGCACGAGCCCAGGAGATTCGATGGCAAAACAACTACTCTGCTGTCAAAAAAGAGAATATTAGTATAAAATCTGAAATAAAAAGTTAGAAATTCAGGTCTGATCGGGAGCAGTCGTGATTTCATTGTCCTAGAAGATTGAGGACCCATCTATCATCCTGACGTAATGGATCCTCTCTCCCCTAGCGGTAAAAAACCCCAGTTCGGCCTCCGTACTCGGGCGAGAGTAGCAGAGTTTAAGCTCAAATGAAGAATGTTGCCTAAAGAGAAAACTAAAACTTTTACGAAAAAATTAACAGAGGAAGAGAGGATAGAAGAGTTTCTGGGTCTTCCGAACTGGAGAAAGGCTCTATTTATATGAGTGGAAAGCCTTCAGATTCGTTGCACATCCCGCATATTCTCCACAAACTTGCGTAACTCTCCGCATTATCTCTGCAGACGCTATGCACGTATACAAGACCGAGTCAAAAGATAAAACGGTAAAATTAAAGATTTGCGATCCAAAAAATGTGTGCGGTGTGGCGTGGCGTAGCACGCGCGTGCGTGTGTGTTATGCAAAGCCCACAAAACCCAAAACACTATTCAAAGCCCAATAAGGGGTGAACCAATATAAACCACTTGAACTTCGTATCATCTTCCAATGTG